ACAGCAACAACAACAACAACAACAACAGCACCACCAAACAACAAACAAACAAACAAACAAAAACCAAACAACAACCAACAAAGAAAACAAAACAACAACCACAACCACAACAACAACAACAACAACAGCATCAGCAACAACACCACCACCACCAACACCACCACCACCACCGCCGCCACCACCACCACCACCACCACCACCACCACCAACAACAACAACAACAACAACAGCAAGAACTAGAAATGCTACTGCTACTGCTCCTGCTGCTGGTGCTGCTACTACTAATACTACGACGACGACTACTACTACCACCTGGCCAAGGAATTGTTAACACATCTGACGGCACGCCCCAGCCTGGCGGCCACACTTCGAGTAGTCCTAGGCAGTTGGAACCATTGCAGCTTCGCGGGATGTTTCTCGTAAGAAATTCTATGAGCGACAGGTCTTTCAATCTCGTGACCCGACAAAGTTGCTTGCCGAATACTTCCCTCAAGCCTGAACGCAGCTCTCGCTAAGCGGATTTGCATATGAAACAGAGCTGTACATGGGTGCCATGACGGTCTCCATATCCATTCGATTTGACCCCATCAATCCCCATCAAGTTGTCCCTGCTCACTTCGGCCGCTGTAGTAACAAAAGTATGTGCAACATGGAAGCCTGGTGTGGCTGGATTCGTCAGGGAATTAGTCTATCAACTTCAGTTTGGCCTGGACTGCGCTCTCGAGATTCTGACCGAGGCACTTTGCCCCCTTGTTCGACAGATGCTGATACATTTGTCGGGCCTACCTGGCTAAATGGTCAATCTAATGCTGCCTATGCCAGAATTCCCAAGACCGATGTCGCCCTGTGTTTGCACCTGGCAGAGCAAATGTGAGCCGGTTTATTGTGAATTTAGGCATCGGACCTGGCTGAAATGTTGAAGCTGACCCATTCGGAGACTAGGATCCAGCCAAATGAGATCGTGTCCAGCAGATGGGCACATGCAGCAGGCGACGCCAATGGCGGGATACTCCCATTCATCTGAGGCTTCGTTTGGGCCCTAAGGGTGCGAAATCTCGAGGAGGACTATGCAAGGTCCTGCAAAGAAGGCGATTTGGAAAAAAGCAGTGGGAGGCCCCATTTTTCAGGTCCAAGTGCAAAAGTCTGGGAGGGCGCAAGACAAACAGAACCAGCACTTTTTGCTTCAAACCTTTTCTACCCTAAACTTCGCTACACTTTCGATGGTCCAAGAAGCGCGGACTGAAAGCTTCAATCCAAGACTGCAACTAACCACCGATGGTCTCCACAGAGTGTAAGCCCCTGCCTATCCAGAAGCTGGTGCCGAGGATTGACATGTCTTCTTCATCGTCGTTGAAGCCCATCAGCTCACCGATGTGAACGTGGTCCTTGTCAACGGCAGCAGTGGTCCCGGATGAAATCAAGGCTTGCACCCACTGCCAGACTTTGAGTGAACCCAGTAGTATCCGGACGTCACGACAAACACTGTCCGCCCATCTCTGCGTTCGGCAGGTCCTTCGCC